GGGTCCGGGCTGGGGATTCGAACCCGCCACCTTAGGTGTACGTGGCTAGCGCCTTAGCTGGTTGAGCTATAGGCGCCGAGCCATCAAAATTATTTCTAATCCGCACTGCCACCTCAAAACCCCTATAAGTCAATAATATTCAACACTATTAAAAAGTTAATTCATCCCTTCTCTAATTTTGTAAAGAAAATAGAAATTAAGAATTATTTAAAAATTTAAGTTAAAAAATAAATTAATTTAGCCAAATTAAAGTATGAGCTGTAACCAGGAAGGTACCCCAAATTTGTTCACTAATTGGTTTAGCATGATTAATCCCTAATTATACACTGCACACTTTTCCCTCAAAAGACTTCAATCCTGAGACATTATATCCTAGGTGTAAAGTCATCTTTGCAACAACATTCAAGAAAAAAATTACACATGATCCCCTCAACCATCCCAAACACAGAGAACCACACCTATTTGGAAATACAAACCGAGCAATCTTGTGAGGGTGTGTCAAAAGTAACCATAATTATAAATAACCTCATTTCTCATGAGCACCCTCCCCATTGCCCTGTGATGATGCAAAGCATTTACATGCCATAGAATCCACCTTCATCAGCAGTTTCAAGTGGCACTAGCAAGCTACAGGATAGCTCTTGCAAATTCAATTGACAGTATTTATGCCATGCTGCAATAGAAATAAATTTTACTTACAGAAAACAAGGTAAACAGGCAATGCATGCCTTGCTTATTCAGACTAAGTTTGCCACAAGCATTTCACAGATTCTTTGAAAGAATGGATAATTTCAATTCACTAGAATTCTTAAACTCTAATCCAATCTGCCACAGAAACCACCTACTATGGCCAATTACAGACAAGGATGTTTTGGCATCCCTGCTCGGATTCTTTCCTACCATTTAGCATTCCTCCTATGTTACACAATCCAGTATTTGATTATATACTATCTTGAACTGCTCTCAAATTAATTAATGGATACATTTTGCTTCTTTAAAGGCAAGAACCGTGTCTTATACCGCAATTATTTTTAACAGGATCTAGCATTCTGCTACTCAACCCAGTATTCTGGGGGTTGGGGGGAACAACCTCTCATGGAAATCAGGAATCCTGGGTTCTATAACCAGTTCTACTACATGCTACCTGTTTGCAAGTCTCATCTCCTCCATTCACTCATGAAGCTCACTCTAGAGCTCTAAAGTTCTCTGGCAAAGACAATCAAATGGAACCATATGTAACTGATAATTTTGTAGGTAAAAAAGTCTGATTTTAAATATTGGCAATTTCAAGAGTCAACCTAAATAGATACTGATGCCATAAAGTGGGCACCCATAGTCTAGAAACCAGACCATAAAAGAGTAAGAGTGTATACACACACAAACGCATACTAACACACATTCTTTATCTTGAAATGGCTATGCCATGGATCAATTTTCATGTTAGTGCTGTAATCTATGCAGTTTTTTTATCCTTCATGTTACAAATTCCCTTTTGTCCTTATTGCCAAATTTACCGTAAGTTCTCAAAAGATACTACAAAAAGAAGGCCTGCAAAATCCAGTTATTTCCATAGTACACTTCAGGCTCTTTCTAGGTTACAGTCACAAAATGCCTTTCATTGCACGAAGAGGAAAAGAAATTCACAAGTAAACAAACAAAAGAATACATTCTCTACCTTGTGAGGTGCTGAAAGCATGCACAATTACTTAGTATGGCTCAGAAACAGATGTTTCCTATGACTTTGCTGGAGCAAGTCTAAAAAGGCATATTCTCCTATTTCAAAGGACAATTTTAAGATGGAGTACATCAAACCACTCCGACCGCAGAAATTAACCGTTCTGTATTTGAACCTCCAAGGAACGTTTTTCCTCGCCCAAACTAAAGGACATCAGCACCAAGGTGACTACTCCTCTTACAAAAGGAAGAAAAGAAAGATCCTTTGAGTCCTTGCGTGAGTCTCTGCATTGAGCTCCGCATCCTCGCAGCCCATTCTCATGGGATTAAAGGGACACATCACCCATCCTCGGTACTTTTAGGGCTCTGCGTTAGCAGCATTTAGCGATCTTTCCAGACACTTAAATGAAAGGTGATGACGAACAGCAGCGCCTGGGTGTGAAAGCCGGGACCCCACAGACGCTTCTCCCGGCTGCTCCGAGCGCTGCGGGCCCGGCCGACCCCAGCGTTTCTCGAATCAGGGGCCTCCGAAGACACCCTGCTGGATGCCCTCCCGCCCGACGACGGCGACCGCGCAGTCAGCACTGCCTACTTCCAACAGGGCCAGCCAATGCGGCTACGCCCCGAGGTCCACCGACGGTGGCCACAGGCACGAAGATGACCGACCACCGCCAGTCCCCCAGGCCCAGCCTGGTCCCCCGGCTGCCCCAGCCGCGCGGAGCTGCTGATCGGTCGCCTGCCAGGCGTCAAGGACGTTTCCTTCAGGTCCCTGAGGGACTGGGCCGCCACACCGGCAAAGCGCAACTGCAGCCCCCGCCAGGTCCGCAGAAGCCGCGGGCAGCCACTAGCCAGGGCCGGGCGTAGCCGGAGGACTGGCCCCAACACACACAAGTCCCACTCCCACCCACCGCCGCCCCGCTCCCAGCTGCCCCGGACCCATTCGGTGACCACCGCCCTCACCTCCTGATCTCATTAGAGGACACCCAACCTGAGCGTCGGCTCTTACGCCTGTCTCCAGTCAACGGAGACGGGGAGCGGAAGGAACCCTCGCCTTACGCACGCCCGGAGCTGGGCGGGCCTGCGACCAATAAGAGAGGATCGTCCGATCGTCCAGCCAATCATGTGAGAGAGGCTCAGCCTGACGGCGCTACGTCACGAACGGTCTCCTTAACAACCGCCCACAACCCTCACCCAGGCAGGGAACCCGCACCGCACCATCTCTCACCATGGTATGGCCAGCCAATAGCTAGTCGAGTCCCACCACTAGGGCCTGCCTATTGGTCCAAGAGCCGTGGGGGCGCAAGCATGGAAGCGGTCTAGGCGAAGCCGATAGGGGACCGGGCGGGTGGAGCGTCCCACAGCCCCAGGACCTGACCTGCGGTTGTACTGGCTGTGAAAGTACTGTGGGAGGCAGTGGTACGAAGCAGAATTACAGTGTGAAGATAAATTCAAGGTCAGGTTGATGATTAGTAACGCACAGTTACTAATGAGGAGAGATGGAGGGAAGTGCGGGTGACCCCCCAAAAGAGGAATATAAAAAATGGAAGGTGGCAGGGAGGTGCAACTCCAGATGACCCATGTCCAAAGGCCAGACCAAAACCTTCCTGTGGCTTACCCATTAGAGTAAATGGCTCCAGCTACCCGCATCTCTCTCTCCCGTGTGGGGCATTCCTGGCTTTCTGGGGATTCTCTCTGAGATGTGCCTCTCTTGGATCCTCGGCATTTGCACTTCCCTCCGCCTAGTCCAGGCCTTTATGTCTTACCTCAAATATTATAATAATCTCTCTTAACTGGTTTGCCCGCTCTTAAGCACTTCCACCTTCCCCCCTGTCCTGCACTACTGCTACTGTCATCTTCCTATTATGTCATAGGCCCAAATCAGCAGGAGTTTCTCAGATTAAAGAATCTGATATTACCAATATGGCACCACCCCACATTTCTTGCTCATCTCTCACCACTTTCCTAGTTTAATCCAGGAGCAACTGGCTTTTCTTCAGTCACATCCAGCACCTTTTTACCTCCCTGCTTATGTTCTCTTTGTTTAACCCAAACGTGCCTACCCATTTTAATTGTTGAAATCCTAACTATCCCTGGAGAACCCAGTGGCATTACACAGGGTACAACATAGAAGGGGAGGTTGGGAGGGTGGGATTAAAGAAATCTGCGTATTTTTTCTCCAGTGGCATTTTTTCATATGACACTTTCTTTCCTGATTCCATCAAACATAGGGCAGCACTTCCAACTTTGAACACCCATAAGATTTTCTGTGACTTGTATTGGAAATTTCTTACAGAAAGAAGTATTTGACTCAATTTTTAAGCCCTTTTTTATTTTTATTTATTTTATTTTATTTTTTACTTACTTTTTTTTTTTTTTTTGACAGAGTCTCACTTTGTCACCCTTGGTAGAGTGCTCTGGTGTCACAGCTCACAGCAACGTCAAACTCTTGGGCTCAAGAGATTCTCTTGCCTCAGCCTCCTGAGTAGCTGGGATTATAGGCACCTGCCACAAAGCCCAGCTATTTTTCGAGATGAGGTCTTGCTCTGGCTCAGGCTGGTCTCCAACAGGTGAGATCAGGCAAGCCACCTGCCTCTGCCTCCCAAGTGCTAGGATTACAGGCATAAGCCACGGTTCCCAGCCTTAAAGCACATTATTTTGAAACACAGTACCTGGAAAATTCTATACATTCAGTAGTTGTTTTAATAAAATACTATCTTGGCTCGGCGCCTATAGCTCAACCGGCTAAGGCGCCAGCCACGTACACCTAAGGTGGCAGGTTCGAATCCCTAGCCCGGACCCGCCAAACAACGACAGCTGCAACCAAAAGATAGCCGGGTGTTGTGGCGGACGCCTGTGGTCCCAGCTACTTGGGAGGCGGAGGCAGGAGACTCGCTTGAGCCCAGGAGTTGGAGGTTGCTGTGAGCATGATGCCATGGCACTCTACCCAGGGGGACAGCTTGAGGCCCTGTCTCAAAAAATAAATAAATAAATAAAAAAAATAAAATACTATCTTGCTATATTCTCATAATCCTTATAAAATAGGCATTATTCCTTTTTTATTTATTTATTTTTTCAATTAAATCATACCTATGTACATTAATGCATTCATGGGGTATAATGTGCTGGTTTTATATACAATTTGAAATATTTTCATCTTTTTTTTTCCTTAAGGCAAGCATGAAACAAAGTTTATTGAAAAAGAGAAAGGGCTTGATGCCTGTGGCTCAAGCGGCTAAGGCGCCAGCCACATACACCTAAGGTGGCAAGTTCGAATCCAGCCCAGGCCTACAAAACAACAATGAAGGCTGCAACCAAAAAAAATAGCTGGGCGTTGTGGCAGGCGCCTGTGATCCCAGCTACTTGGGAGGCTGAGGCAGGAGACTCGCTTAAGCCCAGGAGTTGGAGGTTGCTGTGAGCTGTGATGCGACGGCACTCCACCCAGGGGAACAGCTTGAGGCTCTGTCTGAAAAAAAAAAAGAAAAGAAAAGGAGAAAAGCTTACAGAGTAATCGCAAGGTACAGGCTTACAGAGCAAGATACCCACCAGTGGGGCCTTCATTGTCTCAACAAAGAAAAGGCAAAGAAGTCGAGGCATTATTCTTACTTTACAAAAAAAAGTTTTGTGAAACAACTTGCTGTGGATTGCACCTGTGATTAGAAAAACTGGGATTTTCACATCTGTATTTATACCAGCTTGACTGTACCCCACTACTCCAGTACAGGCCTTTTTTCGTATCCCTTTACCAAATATCATCCATTGGAAATGCCCATTGAGTGCATTGCACTGTTTGGCAATGGAGATAGAGAACAAGCATGATAGACACAGTGCCTACCTTTATGAACTTTGCACAGTGAGGAAAACTGAGATGAGCTAGCTAAAAATTGCAATGTTCCACTATCAGTCTTACCAAAAAATGAAAAGGGGAAGAAGAAAGAATAAGTACCAAGAGGCTAGAAATTCTGTTGTATTTTTAATGCCCTAGAAATTTAAAGGGCCAAATATCTTGAAATTAGAAATTGCAGATTCTATATGTGCTCACCAGCACAATTCAAGTAAGGATTATAAAGCTCTTACCATAAAAGCCTTTGGCCCAACATTTAGAAATGTAATTCCCAAATTCTGCTTCATTGAGAATTCGAGAAGAATATGTGTTCAACGCAATAAAGAAACTCAAAACTTTCTGTGTTCTGAGAACAACTGCTATATCATTCCCAAAATTTATTTTTAAAGAATTTTTAATTGCACTTGATTACAAATTGTTCTTAATGGTAAATCACAAAATTTGGCATGGACACAACATAGAAGGGGAGGTTGGGAGGGTGGGATTACAGAAATCTGCGTATTTTTTCTCTTGGGAGTTTACCCTCTGAGTAAAGAGTTTATGAAAGTATAATTTTAACAGCCCCATGTAATGAGTGAACTGTATTGCCCCTTAATCATATCGCTTCAGCATTTACTTATCACATATGTTTGGCCTCCAACTTTCACTTTTCATGCTTTTTGTTGTCATGAGTCATGCTTAAAGATGGGAATTATAACAATAATACTGAAATAAATATTTATATACCTCTGTCAGTCGCTTTTCCATGTTTTTAATATATTAACTTCTTTTTTATATATTAACTTCTTATAATTAACAACCCTATGGATCTGCATTTTACAAATGGTAAACCTACAGAAACAGACAAGTAACTCACCTAACTTCGTGTGGCTTGAAAGTAGCAGAGCTGGAATATGAACTTTGGAATCTGGCTCCCAAGAACATGTCCTAAACCACTCCACAGTCCAGTCTTTTGCATTAACAGAAAATGTTCCGTTTGTACTGGGACATGTTATATAACTGTTTGGGCTTCTTCAGCTCCATTGCAAAAAACTTTTCATGTTCATGAAGAGTTGTATTTATGTATTTATTTCCCATCACAGTTCCCAGCTATGTTCACATTTACGTCTTTAGTCTTTGGCAGCTTTTTTTTTTCCTCTCTCTCTCTTTCCCCCACAATGTTTTGGTGTTTTATTTTAAATTTTGGGATAAAGGTGTTTGTTTTTTGTTTTGTTTTGTTTGAGACAGTCTCACTATGTCACCCTCCATAGAGTGCAGTGGAACACAGTTCCCAGCAACCTCAAACTCTTGGGCTTAAGCATGCCTCAGCCTCCCAAGTAGCTGGGACCATAGGCGTCTGCCACAACCCCAGCTATTTTTTGGTTGCAGTCGTCATTGTTGTTTGGCAGGCCCAGGCTGGATTTGAACTGCCAACTCCAGTGTGTATGACTGGTGTCCTAGCTGCTGAGCTACAGGCACCAAGCCTAGGATAAATTTTTTTACTAGTACATCACAAGTGATAATTGGTTACACAGAACTTCTGGTGGGTACTATGATTTATTATCACTCTTGCCAAGGGTGAAGAAATAGTCACTGAGGGCCTACTCTTTTTTTTTCCTCTCTCTTTTTTTGAGACAGTTTTATTTTGTCACCCCCAGTGGAATGCCGTGGCATCATAGCTCAAAGCAACCTCAAACTCCTGGACTCAAGCAATTCTCTTGCCTCAATCTCCCAAATAGCTGGGACTACAGATGCCCACTCAATGCCCAGCTATTTCTTTTTTTTTTTTTTTTGGCTGGGCCTGGGTTTGAACCTGCCACCTCCAGCATATGGGGCCAGCACCCTACCTCTTTGAGCCACAGGTACCGCCCCCTCTTTTTTTTTTTTTTTTAGAGACAGGGTCTCTCTCTTTCTCAGGCTGGTCTTAAACTCCTGAGTTCAAGCAATCCACTCACCTCCCAGTGTGCTAAGATTACAGGTGTGAGCCACCATCCCCAGCTGAGGGCCTACTCTATGGTAAGCAAAGGGTTGAGCCCTCAAGGTACAGAGTCAGATAAGGAAACATGCACAAACAGATTTCTTCCAGATAACGTGGCGAGTGTTCTGAGTGAGATATGCACAGGGTCCAGTAAAAAAATGTTTGGGTTGTGTTTTGAACAAGAAGTGGGAATGGTTTGAAAGTATTCCAGGCACTGAGGCCTAGATTATGAGCATGAGAATAGAGGTGGCATAGATATAGGTGAAGAAATTTTACTGGGGCAAAAATCTTAAAGT